AGATACACACACGTATCGAATAAAAGTATAAATATCTATAGTATTTTTAATACAAGATTGGAAAGAGGGTGGGTGRGTGTGTGGGGGTTGTAGGTCTGAGGGCGAGGGTGTTACAGGTTGTATATTGTTTTTTTTTTTCTATTTTTATTTTTACTTCTCTTTTTCTTTTTTATTTATTTTTTATTTATTTAATCTTTCTTTCTTTATTTTTCTCTTTTTTTTTTCTCTTTCTCTCTGAAACATACACATACATGGAAAATACACATTTTTACATTTTTATCTCCATTTTTGTCTCGTCTTACACATGTATATCGTTTATACGTTACAAGTAAAAAAAAAAAAAAAAGAACAACAAGAAAGAAAGAAAGAAAGAAAAACGAAAAAAAAAAAACAAAAAAAGAAAAGGAGAAAATTTATTTCCCCTTCCACATTTTTTCTTAAATCCCTTTTTACGTTTTTCCGAATAAGATACTTATCGTAAGTATAGTAAATGTATTAACAGCATACGACGACAAACCAACAACGGATATGTGTTTTATATATATATATATATATATATATTAGGGTGGGGTCAAAAAAATCAATTATTTTTGTTTTTACAAGTGCCACGGAAAAATGGGTTGCTAGACACATTAAAAAAAATTCTCACCAAATATGAGCTCTTCATTTTAATAGGAAGATCCTTCGCATTGCAGTTTTTTATTTTTTTCTCAGTCCAATAGAATAAAATTCCTACCTCATTATTAATTGATTGTACAGAAAAATGTTCCGGAAGAATTTTGTAGGAAATTTAATGCTCTACAAAAAAGGTATCTTATATTTTTTCCGTAAACCTCACCATTTGAATGATATTGAAGATTGAAGTTTGATTATTTTCAGACAAATTTCATTTTTGTTTATGAATTTTATAACTGATCACCGATTACATCCGGTCGTGAAAAATTGGCTTGGGAGACGTTGATTGGCTTTCTTTCTCGTAAAATCGAAAAATTTCAAAATTCACTTACTAATAATAATAATATATTTTTATTATATATAAAAATATTGATATTGTGTAGTTAAATGTTGTTAGAAGCATAGAATTTTCTTTGACAAACCTAGTTTTAGCAATTTTATTAACAGACGTTTATTTGTTCAAGTTGACAAGTACAAAGAAAAAGTATTTTTGTCAGTATTTGTTATTTGTTTCTCATATTGGTACGATATTTAACATACATTTGGTTTTAAAACGAGTGATTTTTCTTTTCTTTCAATAACATTAGAAGACCAGTTTCTTTATTGCATTCGCGAAATACTTTCAATTTGTATACCAGTAATGTGTTCGTATATGGTACAAATATTCTACAAGAAAGGTATGTAAATTGCTATGTGTAAAAACAATAAAAAAAAATAGATATACACATATACATATATACATATATAATTTAGATCATTTTAAAAATAATGTGTTTAAATATATGATACAAAATTAATTGTATAATTTAAAATAATCTATTTCTTTTTCTATTTTATATTAGAGTAAATCAATATTTCATTATTACATTATATATATTAATTTAGTATAAAAAAATAAAAAAAATACAATATATATTTAAATATTTATAAGTATACTAGGGGTGTTCCGCCACGCGTTGCTATAACTCACAATCAGTCCGATACACACGTCTTTAAGTCAACGAATTAATTTAATAAACAAATAATTCGCAGTAAAATAATATTGCGATTATAAATTGAGATTGAAACTATCCTATCTTTCAAGTTGAATGAAACTGCACACAGTGTGCAAAATTTTATTAAAATCGGTTCAGTAATTTAAGAGTCCATTGCTGACAAACAACGTGACACGTAATTTATATACATTAAGAAGATGTGCCCATAATTATGAAAGTCGTCTAAGTCATGTATCTCTTGTTTCGAGATATTTAAAGATTTCTATTTGAACATTATATGAATTCTATGTAATATTGAAAAAACAAACATTACAATATCGTGAAAATTACATTGAATTTATTTAGTTTAAAATAATGTGGTTAAGTAATAACTAATAAACTCTTTTTCTTTTTTTTTAATTTTGACTTAAATCACTTTCATAATTATGGGCACATATATAAATTATTATACGAATTTGTACTACAATCAAACAAATATAATTAGATGTATACAATTTATATTATATTTAGAAATAGATAAAAATCTTTTTATCTATATTAGATCTAAAGTTTAAAGTAGTATAATAGATAACAATATCTTGCTTTTTTCTCTTTTTTTAATTATACTACTTAAATACAATAATGAACCAGTGGCAGTCTGTAAATTGTCTCGAATCGTGTTGCACGAAAGAACTTCTTAACTACGTTTAATGGCCCATGCTATTATTCCTCTCCATTCAGATGGAAAACAAAAAAGAAAAGAATAGAATAGAAAAGAAAAGAAAAGAACAAAACAAAAACAAAAAAAAAAATACAAATCTCGTTAAGTAGACATCGAGAAAAAATATAATTTTCAAAAAAAAAAAAAAAACTTGTGTCTTATAATACCTTTAAAAAAGATATAATAATATAAAATAGAAATTTTTTAAATCATACAATTCATTTTGTATTATATATTTTTAAATACTTGCAATATCATAATTATGAATACATTTATATTAACATAATCACATGTGTACTTATATATATATATATATACATGATATAAATTCGTAAATTCATATCAATAGAAAATAAATTATAAATGAAACATTATTATTACATTTTGAAATATCCATCAATATGCAAAGTATAAAAACCTTAATGACAATGATTTAAAAAAAAAGAATAAAAAAAATAAAAAACAGAAATATTACTCTATAATATATGTGTGTATGTGAGATGAACAATGAAATGACTCCTGAGAATAAATTTATAGACTTAAATTACTAGCTTTAGTTGAACTTGTGTGTTATGTATGTGTGTGACACCTTTAACAATTTTTTACTTAGTCACAGTTTTCAAGCAAGTGTTCTCTCTTGAACATTACTACTACTACTACTACTATTACTACTACTACTACTATTACTATTACTTCTGTTGTGTTGAGATCGATAAAGACGATATTATTCTTTGAGTTATGGTCTCTAAAACGAACCTTACGAACCTAAGAAGGAAAGGTTCAATGCTTCTCTTCTGTGCTAAGATTAGAAACTACTATTACACATGCATACCACTTTTAACATTCTATTTGTATGTGTTTATATATTTATGTGTATGACGATGATGTGTTTGCATATGTTTACTTAGTATGCCACCTCGTTCGATTTTCAACGACATCATACGTTAATATATTTTTTTTTTCTTTTTTTCATCTGCATTTTAATTCTGTTTTTTTTTATTTTTTTTTATTTCATCATTGCAATTTTACTGATTTATTATGCATACTGTATGATTATGATGATGATGATGATGATTATTATTATATTATTATGAAGAGAAAAGAAATTAATGTATTACGTAATTTTGGTTTCATTTCAGATAGATGATTTATGTTGCTTCTTTTTTTTTTGTTGTATTCTTTCTTTTATTACATTTTTATTTACGATAGACATTATGTAGATATAAAATGAAAAGAAAAAAAAAAAGGTCGTAAGTTTGAGTAAAATGTTCAGACGTATGAGAACATACTGTCATTCATTTTTTTACGACACGTGTCATCATGTTGAATTATATTTAAAAAAAAAAAAAAAAAAAAAAAAAAAAAAAAAAAAAAAACGTGAGATAAGATGAATTTGACTAATTGTAAAGAAAGAAAAATATAAATTATTTAACGCGTTAGTTATATTTTTCTTCGAACGATTAGCGTTTAATGAAGAAAAAAATAAATAGGGGAAGCAACCTGTTGAGCCACACGATATTCTTAGTTTTATGTAACGTAATTATGTAACCTTGGAATATTCAATACTTGAGTAATTATAAAAATAAGGCAAGCGGTAATTATTGCGAGACACATGTTATCTAAAAAAAGAAAAAAATATCGTTAAAGCAAATATTAAAAATGAACCTATTGAAATTGATCAATCGTAGCTGATTGATTTCAATGTCACTTTAAAGAAATATATGTATATGAAGAAGTTATGTTTCGTTAACTTTACAATTAATATTCGAAGGTTACGGACTTGTTTTATGTGTTCATTTTTTGTAACCAATAGAATTCATTTCATTTCATTCGATTTTATTTTAAAACATTATAAATGTATATATATATATTGACAATATTCATGCAAGTCTGAGGTTCAAAGTTAAATAATATGTTAAATCATTCGACAATAATGTGTTTATATATTTATTTAATATTTTTAATTATTTTTTGCAATCAATATTTTAAAATATGGAAGAAAGGTTTTTTTCCACATGCAACGAGTTTAATTTTTAATTTTTAATAATTTTGGTCGTTCGAAAATATAAAAGTACAAATTTTATTTCTATTTTATAAATAGTAAATATAATTTTATAAATATTATTATTATATAATTTTATAAATATAAATATTAATGTATAATTTTATAAGTAATATTATTTTCTTTTAAATATAATTTTAAATTTAATTTAAATTAAATTTATATTTAAAAAAAAACAATTAAATATATTTATAAATACTATTATCAACTAAATATTAGCACGAGAAGAAAAAAAATGATATTTAAAAATTAATAACATTGTTATCAAAGTAAAAGTAAAAGAATTATAAAAAACAAAAAAGAAAAGAAAAGAAAATACAAATTGTGGAATGTAAAATGAAAAAAATGTTAAAAAAAAAAACCAAATAGTTTCCTTTAACAATTAACGAGTAATAAGTACTTTATACATAATTAAATACTTTAGGATGTTTTATTTACTTAATTTTATTTATTTATATTATTATTATATTATTTATTATATTACATTTATTTAAAAAAGGTCTGAGAGATAGGCGCGAACATATCCGAGTAGATAGGACGTTTAAGCATAAAGAAAACTGGCGCGCATGCTCCAACGTTGAATTATGATTGGTCGTGTCGGGTGGTTGCGCGCGCACTTCGAGTCACGTTTCGAGGGAGCAACCGCGAGTTCAGTAGCCGCCGTGCGGCCCGCGTGTATTCGTCGGTTCATTTTTTGGTTAGTACTTGTCACAAGTTCTTCTTCTTCTTCTTCTTTTTACATATTATTCTTCGGTATATTTAAAATAATAAATGTATAACAACACTAATACAATATAATAACGCGCCTTTTAAGTACACGACACATTTTGACAGGTTATATTTATTTTTTTATTTACGTTTTTTTTTAGTTTTTTTTTTTTTTTTTATACACGTTCCACGCATATTTTTACATCATTTGATGGAATCATTTGTTTTATTTAAATTTTCTTTTATTTGTTTTTAATATTTGTGACGATTTTTTACAATAACTTTTTTCTTTTTCTTTTTTTTTTTTTTATTCTGCGTGCGTGCGTGTTTAATTTCAATTCGATGTACTTGTTATTCCGATCTTGCAAATACTTCTTTTTAATCAATTTTGTTCTTCCTATTTGATTTTGTAATTTTTTTCTTTTCCTTTTAATTTAAATTTTTTTTTCGTGCTACGAACTATTCGAGGGGCTTTTTTGTTCTTTATTTTCTTTTTTTTTTTTCTTTTAAATCTTTTTTTTTCTAACAAATATCGCATAGAACAAAGCTGTGAAAAATATTTGTTATAGTCGTTGGTCGTAGTCGTCGTCATAGCAGTAGTTATGGTCATCGTCGTGTTCGTAAAGTGTCAATTGCACAAAGAGCCCGCGAAAAATGGTGTTGTCATTTTTCTTCCATTATTTTATTCAAAGAATTCAAGAAAAAAACGTTTTACTCTTTTCGTTCTCTCTCTTCTTGCACTTTATTTTCTTCTTTTTTTTTTCTTTTTTTATTTTTTCACAAGTTGTTCTCAACAGTAGTGTCTTTTATTAATTTTTTTTGTTCTTCTATTTCTTCTAGTTTTGTCCTATTACAGTGTGTTATACTGAAGAATAAAAAGAAGAATTGTGGTAACAGCAAGAAGAAGAAGAAGAAAAAGAAGAAGAAGAAGAGAAGAAGAACACAAACACAGTGTATGATAACATTTTTTGCATTTTATTACGACGATAAAGTGTTATGAGGACGAAAGAAGATTTTTTTTATCTTTTTTTTTTTTTTCTTTTTTTTTTTATATATTAAACATTCGTCCTGTCTACAAAGGAAGATTGAATGTTTTATTTTTTTTCTAATTTTTATTTTTCTTGTTGTTCGTTAATTTTCTCAGGAATGAAGGAAACATACAACGACGTCGTTGGATTAATCTTATATTTCATTGTGTGAGTACATTTAATTTATTATTATTATTATTATTATTATTATTTGAATTTATTTGTTTATTTTGGTTTTGTTTTTTTTTTTATTATTCTCAACAAAATATTTACAGGTATTTTATTTTGCATAAGATATGGAAAAAGGTTTTACAAATTATATTTTTAATAGGAAAACCAAAATTTGTTTAATTATCGTAATACTAGGGAATAAAATAAATTTTGATATTTTTTTAATCGTTCGAATAACAAAATATATATTTATTTTTATTATTTATCATATTCATTTATTTTTATTACTTACCATATTAATTTATTTATTTTTTTTTTTTTGATTTACCATAATTATTAATTATATTAATTTATTTCTTTTTAATTTTATCTTTATTTTATTTTATTTTTATTTAATTTAAGTTTAATTTATTTTTTTTTTTGATTTACCATAAATAATTAATTATATTAATTTATTTTTATTATTTACAATAATTATTTATCATATTAATTACAATATATTTATATTTTTCATATGAGGTTACGTAAATGCAATATAAAAAGAAATTAGAAAATAATTTTTGATAAATTATTGCAACCTTTTTCTAATCATCGTATTTATATATTATTATCATTATATTTATTTATTATTATTCTTTTTGTTTGTTTGTTTTTTCTCTCTCTTAAATATCGTTACTTCTAATTCGTCTAGTAATACAAAAAAAAATCCATATAAAAAAAAAAAAAAACACGTCCTATCTATAAAAAAGATAATTATTATTATTTCTTATTACGTGCTTTAATAATATAATTTATAAATATTACTTTGATAAACAAGCAGCTTAATGTTTATGTTTTATGATACGTACAAAAATGTTATCAATTGTCTTGAACGTTTAATAAATGAATTTTGTATTTGAAATAATTATCGATCAAATTTCGATGATTTCGAAAATCAAGAAATATTTATCAATTATACGATAATACTAATTAAATTTACTTGTGATACATAGATGTATATATATATATATATATATATATATATATATATACGATAGAAATATTGATTACAATGATAATAATAATAATAATAATAGTAAGAATAATTAAACGTAAATTCGTTGAATAATAATAGAACATTTTGTTGTATTTCCTTTTTTTGTTTATAGTGATAAAACGTCAATGGAATAATTATTTTATTTATTTTTAGAAACGTATGACGCATGAAATTCACGATTAACTGATAATTATTGTTAAACGATCGATCATTGATATAAAATAATTTAAATGCTAAATTAAGTGTCGTATGATCATTTTCCAATAATTTGTTTCAACTTTTGTCACATTCTTTTTAACGATATATGTGCCCATAATTATGAAAGTGGTCTAAAGTGGTCAAAATTTAAAAAAAAAAAAAACAAAAAATGAGTTTATTAGTTATATTACCTCATCACATTATTTTAAACTAATTAAATTCAACGTAATTTTTTACGATATTGTCAAAAATCAGTCGTAAGATAATGTTTTCTTTTTTTTTTTTTTTTTTTTCAATATTACATAGAATTTGTATAATGTTCAAATAGAAATTTTTAAATATCTCAAAACTAGAGATATTTGACTTATGTTAGGACCACTTTTATAATTATGGACACATATTTTCCTTTGTATTTTTTCTTGTTTTTTGTTTTTTGTTTTTAAGTAAATATACACAGCAGAAAATATTGAATTTTCCTTTGATCTAAAGTTTTTTAATTAACTACTAATTTGTTAATTTTAATATAGTAATTAATATATTATACGTAGTTAACAAATGAAAAATTGTACATGTAAATAATATTTGCATTTCATTTTCGTAGAAAACAATTTTTTCTTTTGTTTTATTTTGTTTTGTTTTGTTTTGTTTTGTTTTGTAAACGACTATGAATTTTGATCATCGTGTTGAAAAATATTCGATTATTTTATTGGTAGGAAAAATATATAATAAAAAATACAATTTTTTTCTAATTTTCAACTTTAATCTTTTGTTTGTTTTTTTTTTTGTTATATATAGTTATCTTTTCTATCGTTTGTGAGATTAATCTATGGTATTATATAACAATATTAAAAGTTATAAACGATAACGATTATAAATACTGTTAAAAAGATTTTTTTTTATTTTTCCCTTCTTTTTTTTACATTTTTATGTTTTTTCATTCTTTCGTGCTCACACACAGCAAATTGTTGGAGATGTAGATTTTTTATGTTTCATAGTAATTTTAACAAATTTAAAAAACAACAAAACAAACAACGTATAGATATTTGTTTATTGTGAATTACGCAATATCTTTAATTCCTATTTTAAATATTATTCATATACGTGTGTGCGTGTAGAATGTGTGTGTGTATGCATACGATACATAAAGATAAGAAAAATTGGTAAATTTAAATCAAATTGAAAGTTGATCGTACGTGCTTGCGATTTTATCGTTATTAACGATAATGCTTTAAAACAAACAAACAAATTACATTTTTTTATTTATTAAATAGAATTTATATATATATACACGAAAAAGAACCCAAAACAGGGGACAAGAAAAAGGGTGAAAATTCGTAGAGGAATTTATATTAGGTCGAGTCATAAATAACTTTCGTTTTTTATGAGACAAAGAATGGCGTTTCTGTGACTGATAAGAGCAAGACACCTTTCATCGAGGTTTCTTTTTTTTTGCACTCTTTGCAATTGTTCAACGTATCTATTGGATTTTGTTCTAATATTACCTTTAAAAGGTTCGTCAAAGTCGGAAATACGTTCCTGCACTTGGTTCATCTTTTAAGATCGTATCTCCAGAACGGAATTTTACAAACCAATTTCTGTCTGCCCTATCAGTTATCAGTCCTGCACTGTATACGCTGCACATTTTTTCAGTTGCCACTTTAGTGCTATTGCCTTGTTTCAATTCTTAAAGCATTACATGTCGAATATGCACTTTTTACTATCCATTTCAGTGGTTAAGAAAAATGGTTAAATGTAACATTGACTGCATCAAAAAGTTGACAGAAGACTAAACTGAATCCCTCATCTATACAGTGATATTGGAAATCCGTTTGTTTCGGTGACTTATAATAGGTAAATACGAAAAATAGATTCTACATAGCTGCATCGGAAATTACTTATGACTCGATCTATTATTAATTATTGAAATTACATTTGTTCTATAAAATTAATCGTTAACATACATTATCAACCACCCACATCTTCTAATTCTACATTTCTAGTCTCAACTATTAATTGATGCATAATATTTTAAGAATAGCATATTCTTCGATCAGTCATCATACTTGATGATAAATAACACACACACACGTACTTAAATAAAATATTGTTTTCTTTTTTACATATCTGCATCGGAATTCTTTCATGTCACATTGATATGATGCACATATCTGCATTGTTTTCTTTATCATATCATAACTGCATCGGAAGTTACTTATGACTCGACCTAATAATTAAAATAATAATGTACATAATTAGATTTTTCACCCACGCATTTTTATTGGTTTAAGTAAAATACAATTATTTTCAATATTTATGATTTTTTTTTGAAATTTTTATTACAATTGTAGGTGGGTCGATTGTTTTCTTTTTAATTTTTCTTTTTAAAATGCATTAAAAGTAATAATCTTTATTATATAATTAATATTACGCTTTTGTTTAATCTTTTTCTTTTTTTCTTTTTTTTTTTTTTTTTTTTAATTAAATATCTATTAATTGTTTTTGTTTATTTATTTTCTTGTAAATTAGATAAAAAAAAAAATTGAAGAATTTTTTTGATATAAATGTGTAACAATATTAATTATTATTAAATATATAACATTATATAATAGTATTTGTTTGTAATACAAATTTTCTACACATCATTTTTCATTTAAATTTTATATTTTATATATTCGATTAATTGTTTTTATATGTTTAAATAATATTAAAAATTACAAAAATATCAGTATAATAATATATTTTGTTAATAATGTTAGAAAATTTTGTTTCATCGTTTAGCATTTTCTTCTTTAGTATTTTCATGTTCTTATTAATTTTCTTATTAATTAACGATTAATATTGTGCTTTGTAATAAAAATTCTGATATTATCATTGAATTTTATACTTTATTTTTTATTAACAATTTTATCTTTTAAATAAGAACAAAAATGACAAAGTATAATAATAATAATAATAATAATAATAATCAGTATAATAATATATTTGTCTAATAACATTAGAAAATATTCTTCATCGTTTAAGATTCGCGTGTTCGTTTTGGTTTTCGTTTTCTTATTCGTTTTTCTTATACGTCAAAGATATTTTAAATTTACAGAGAAACTGATTGTTCGTGTTTTCTTGCTAATAATAGTTTAGTTGTTCTCTCCCAGTGGAAAATCGTTCAGTTACGTGCTCCCAAGAGTGAACACGAATAATCCAAAATGGTGTGCGTAGGTTGGGATATTTTATATCGGTTAGGAGTAGGAGGTGGTATTTGTTATCCATTAGAAAACAAACATTTATTGACTATCAACGAAACAGTCATGTCGTTTCATTTGGACAACCGGTTCTACCTAACAATTTATAACGATTGCATTTCGTGCTGGGAAAGTTAACTTAACGACAGGTAGTAGAGGTCGGAGGGGGAGAGGGGGTGGAAGTCATCTTAAATCGATGAATTACGTTTTAACGATCACCATCTTAACATTTTCTAAATTATCGAAATTACGAGATTACGTGTTTTTAATCAGTTAAGTGCGTGACGTTCGACGTGTATACACGTCGGACCAAATCTATACTGCGATGCGTTTGACGTGTATACTCGTCGTGTAAAATAAAATTACCATTCACTATAAAAACTCGAAATCTCAATAAAATGTAATAAGAATATTATTTGGTGATGTGTTTTCTTTATATATTAACAATACGATCTCTATGTATTTTATTTATTTTTATTTATAAGATGTGCCATTTGCTCAAAAAAAAAGAAAAAAAAAAATGAAAA